CAAATGGTGTTTCATTGCAACCTGGGGATCTTATGGAATATGGGAGCTGGTTGGGAGTGGAAGGTTTTATTGGCAAAGATCTGTGGAATATCGAGCGTGAGGTGGGTGATTTGGGAGATGGGTCTGGGAAAACTTGTTTGTATGTTGAAGATGGTGAGGTGGATGGTGATGACGGTTCTGGAAGGTCTTCTTCTTTTTCTAGGCTGCATCGAATGCATACTTGGACGTCAGATTCTCGTGGTTTGTTTGTTATACCTGCTATTGATCAGGAGTTACAGGTTGGTGGTTCTTCTGTTAATGTGGTGGTTGCATTGTCTAATGTTGGGGGGCCGTCTACTATGGGAGCTGGTATTGGTTTTGGAAACTGTTCTTTTGGTGATGGCCTTCTTCAGAATCGGTTTGGCATGTGTGACTTTGGGAATGAGAGTGGTAAGACTGATGGTTAGGTTGGGGTGTCCGCTCCTATATTGGAAGGACGTATCGTTCTTGGTTCTTCATCCCAGAGTCATGTGGCCTCTGTGCACAATGAGGAGACTATGGCTTCCGATCCTGTTACATCTCCTGTTAAAGGTAGAATTCTTCATTTAGAAAGGTGGGATCAGATGACTAAAGCCGCGAAAAAAGGGAATGGCCGGGTGCAACTTCTTTTTGGATCGACCTCAAATTCATCGACTACTTCTCACAGCCAAGGTTCATCTCCTGTTCTTAAGGGTAGAAAGCGGCGACAACCTTCTTCTGGAGGATCCCACGGGGGTTGGTTGAAGGGGGAGAAGAAACATAAAGCTTTGGGTGATCAATCATTGTCAGTCGCCAAGGGTTCTGCTAGGGTGGCCTTTGGTATGAGATTTGAATCTTCAGGTAAATCTGGGACTCCGGTTGCCGAATCTTATCATTCTGAGTCTCCGCAGTCCTTTGCTGCTCAGTTGGCGCTATTGGTGGGTGCTAGTACTCCTACTTTTACTAATAATGTCTAGATGTCGTTGTTATCCAGTGATTGCTTTCTTTTGCGAGTGTTAGTTAGTTTGTAGTTAGTTTTTGTGGTCTGTATAAAGGTAGCTTGGTCATGTTGCCTTTCTGTAGGGTTGGATCTTTCACTAAAACTGACACCTTTCTATGCCTTGTCAAGCCAGTGATCTTGACTATAAGGGTGTTAGTAAGTTTAATGTATTTATCCTTTTCTGTTTACGGCTGTTGCTTCTTGCTGGTCTCTTACTCTATAGATGCCATATGGCTTTTTGGTGTGTTTTTTGCCAGGAAAAAAAATATATATATATATACTGTTGATGATCAATTCAACTAAAGAATTATTTTTATCATAGTAATGTACAATATATAAAAGGAGAAAACATATATGGATTCCAAAACCATTACATTTAAAAAAAGTGAAAAGAGAGAGATATGGAAGGAGAGATTAACAACTTCATCAAAGTATGGCTCTCAGTCTTCACATCTCTATGCTACTGCTTTGGTATATATACACTGCATATATATATACACTACGTATACTATGTATGTGTGTATATGTATGTATGGTGAACAACCACGTGGTCGAATCAGGAAGGTTTGATTATAATCCTCGGATTCCTTATGTTTGGAAAATTGACTCAAAATAAGAATCTTTTGTTGTTAATGGCATCATCAAAATTATTTAATACGATAAAAAGTCTATTAAAGTAGACTAATCACTATTTTAATATGATGGAAGAGAAAGTGACAAAATTAATCTTTGGACTTATTTAATAATAAGTTTGACTAATCACTATTTTTATAGTAATACTAAAAACTATAAAAATGATTCAAAAGTGGGTTGAGGCACTCAAAATTCTAGGAGTGGATGTTAGGTATGTGGTACATGTCATATAATTGATATACTCATTTAAGTAAATAATTTTATAAATAAATGAGTTGAACTTTTTTTTAAAATAGTACATTATCATTGTATAGATTATGTGCACGATACACTCAATATTTATTCAAGCCAGGTGAATTTTGTTCGTCACTAATTAAGAATTTCATCAGAAACATTATTAATTATTTAAAACAACAAAATTGGTCCAAAGAAGTCAGTCAAAGCTCTTGGTCAATTTTGTAGGGTTTAAAAGTATTTTCCTTTAATTCAAAAGTCAAGGCGTAAAACTACTTATTTCCAAACATTTTTTTTTTTTTAATCCTATAAAATAAGATTGGTATGATTTGTTCCTAACCTTTGAGTGTGTCCATTTCTGTTGCTAGACTTTTTCCCGAATTTTACGCCTCAGAGTCAGTAAATAACATGTTTTGATCTGTTTTGTAAATCATTTTATTTTTTATTTTTAATTTTAAGATAAAACTTTTTTACTTAAAAAAGGAAAAGAAAAAAAATCATAAAAAGACATGTAATAGAATATATATCAACGAAAATATTTTACTATAAAATCTTATTAGCTAAAAACACACACACATCTACTAATTTCTATAAAAATTTGAACTCACTTGTCCGGAAACTTAAACCCTCCATCTTCTACCTTGAAAGACGAAAGAATACCACAACTTATAGGACAAGGATCCTCTCCCGCGCTGGAGAGGTCCTGCACAAGTAATACCCACGGAATAAATGGGATTCATTATTAATAATGTAATCTCAACGGCTGTTACCTATGCAGAACATCTCCAGCACTGGAGAGGATCCTTATCCCTAGCCTATAACCCTCAAAAATAATATTAAATTTTGCACCATTTATGTTGTTTTTATTTTTCACAAGTAAATTTTAAGTTGAAATTAAAGAGCAGAAATTCTTTGAAGTCTAATAAGCTTCACGCGCGCCACTGAAATATTGATTTTTATTTTTTAACCTAAGTGCAGGAGACTACTAGATGCTAAGTCGAATGAAAAATTCTAGAATGGTAGGTGGTGTTTGATGTGACGATAAATGTGAGAACCACCAAGGCGGACTCTGACTATATAAATCATTTACTACTTACTACATTCAATTAATAATAATAACTTGTTTTTGTTGTTTAACAGGATGAGTTGCGATCCAATTCAAAAATTTGAAGTTAACATCCAATTCACGTTTATCTGTTCACTTTTTCATTTACTTCTCCGATCCCACTTGTAATACTGATCCACAATGAAATGAGTGGACGAATTATTTAATTTTAAAAGTAAATGTCACCATTTTAAAGTTATTATTAAAAAAATATATTCTTTAATTAGTTGTTATCTTTGGCAAACATTCTTTTATGTCATCTAGGTCACTTCTAATCAGGGGTGATAAATTACAACACGACACAAGTTAAAAAGGTTAGTATTTGACATAAACAGATTTGGGTCATAAAATGGTCAACACGATTAGTCCGTTTACTTAATTATATCGGGTTAGGGTTGAGAGATTCAACCCGTGTAACCCGTTTATGACCCATTTAACTCAATATGTTATAATCGTAAATATAACCTATATAATATGTTACCTATTTAAATCCAATTAATATAAATAGTTAAGTCATTTCAACATAAACCTTGTTTATGCCTTATAATTTTTTTTTTTTCTTATTTTGAATATTTGGGTTAATTATGACAATTTTTTTATATTATTATTTAGTATTTGATTAAATATTAAATGTCTCGTTTTAATAAACAGGTCATTAAACGGGTTAATACGTTTACCTGTTTAATAAATAGGTTAGGTTAGTGTTGAGAGTTCTTGATACGATTATTAAATGGTTGAGTTTGAGTTTACCTATTTAGTATAATATTCTTACATCGACATAACACGATTATGACCCACGAACACGAATCGTCACCCCTACTTCTAACCCATGCTTGATTGATTCCCAAAATATTTAATACCTTCTTTTGCAGGGAGACTCACCATTTGAAACATCATTTTAGGCTAAAAAATAAAAGGTTATAGAATTCATTAACAGAAAATTTATTTATTTATTTTGTGAATTGGGATTTAAACAATAAATTTGAGATAAAGGGTTACAATTTATTGGTCTCATTTCATATATCAAAAAAATTATCATGCAACCCTCCAAGGACAATTATAAATGTATTAAATAAAAATAGTATCACTTGGTACTTAGGCTCCATTTATATAGATGTAAAATATTTTTACTCATAATTTTTTGAAAATTATCATTTTGCCCTTAAGACTAAACTTGTCTGTTTTAAAACTTCACTTCCGCATTTTGTTTTTTTTTAAGTTCCGTGACTTCATGGGAAGTCATGTTTGTAACTAGGGATGACGTACATCTCTCGAGACTTTGTTTTCATTTGGAATGACCATTTTTCCCTTTGGTGCATACTTGGTCAATTTTCACTTTTTCGCTTCAACATTTGTTTTCTTTTGGTTCCGTGACTTCATGGAAAGTCACTATGGCGTCTTAGGGATATCGAACATCTCCATAGATTCTGTTTTTATTTCCGCTTTTGCATTCTTGATCTGTTATCAGGTTAACTTTCGCGTCACATTGACATATCTGGGTTTGTGAAAATTCAAAACGTCACAGGAGAAAATATTTTTTATTTTCTGGTGTTTGGTTTTCGTAAAATATTTACAAAGTAAAAAAATATTAAAATTTAACAAAAATAACTTATTCATCAATTTTCGACAAGTTATTTTATGTGCCCTACTCGATCTCAATGTAAATTTTTGGCAAACACCAAAAAAGTAAAAATAAAAAAATATTTTATCTGAAAAAGAAAAATATTTTAATAAATATATATTTTACGTTTGTTAACGGAGGCTTAATGTTTTTGAAAATTTTATTTTGATAAAAACAATTATCTTGACAGTGTTTAATATTGACTTTCCTAAAATTCTTAGTTTCACATTGTGTGTGTTTAAAAGAAAAATAAAAAAAGCAAAATTATTGCTAATATATGATGTAATGTAATTGCAGATTCCTGCAATTTGTCACATTTTTCAGTCATGCCTCCTAATTCCTACAAAACAAACAGTTTTAAGTGATTGCATAAAGGTGTACGCAGTACCAAGAGAATCGTCAAGCAAATAGTCAGTTAAAACCCTTTAAATTAATGTTTGAAACACTGAATTGGGGTCTTAAAATTAAATTGAAAGATATTCAGTACAAAGTCTGAAAAAGAAAAAGTCAATTTCGATTCCAGGTAGCCAAAAGGCGTCTACAAATTTGACTAAACCCTCCTAGCATTGAAAGATTTGAACGTCAAAGCTTGACCAACATCCTTCACAAATGTGCCCACAGCCGCGTACTCTTCAAACGCTTTGCCGAACGCATTACACCGAAACAAGCCCGGAAAAAACAGCAAAAAGCCGGTACTCACCACGAAAGCCACCGTGAGTAATCCAGAGATAAATCGAGGCAACCGATACCTGTCAGTAACCATCTTCTTGACTGCAACCTCAACCATCAAACTCAACCCATGGAGCAAGAAGAACCACATGATATCCCAAATGGGCCTTTCGCGGCCCAGGTAGTAGAATATGAGCTCGTGCATCAGGCCCGACACCATGAATGTGCTGAAAATTGCTGGCAAAGGGGCCCATTTTCGGCCCAAAAGTCGGGTTGAGAGGTTGAGGGTGGGTTCGTACACGGTGGGGCGTAGAATACGACTCACCATCCTGTTCCACCTGCGACCCCAGAAGTCTTGCAGTGAGGTTGAAAGGTATGGCTCGTCGAACTGTGGCTCCAACTCTGATCCCAAAAGGGTCCGAGCCAGGGCTGCAAGCACGGCAAAAATGATTTCCAAGGAAAAGTATACGTGGAAGCATTGCAGCAAAAATATGATCTTTGGATGTAGATATTCACTGTAATCATACACACGAACTAACAAGACCAGAAGAACAATTTTGATGGCATAATTCAAAGGCGATTTGTGGCCTTTTTTGGATGTTTTGAGAGGTGGGTTTTGTTTGGAATTGTGATTTGGAGGTGGGTTTTGTATGATTTTGATGGGGAGAGAAGCTACTGCAACAAATTGGGGGAGAGAGATTGAAGGGTGTGATAGAGGGCCTTTACCAAATGCAAACATGAGAAGTTTGAAGTTGGCAAGCCAAGCAATGAGGAATGCGCTTGTGCCTCCAAGATGCATAGTGTGTAGATTGAGAGGGAGGGTTAGGAAGAGACACACCACAGGGACTATTGTGAGCAGTCTCGGTGTGCCTTTGGGTACAATCTTGCCTGCAACATAGCAGTAGCATAGAGATATGAAGACAGATATCCATACCTTGATGAAGTTGTCGATCTCTCGTTCCATCTTTCTCTCTCTAGATCTCTCTCTTTCTTTTCCCCTTTGTTTTTTTATATGTAATGGTTGCAATCCATACATATTTTCTGCTTTTATACATGTACTAATATAAAAACAAAATTTTAGATGACATTATTCATATTGATGTCATTCTTGATACAATAAGTAATTATTTGGGTGAATGGGCAGAAAACATCCCTAAATATGTTTGTAGTGCATATCATACCTTCACGTTTAAAGTTTTAATTTAGTACAAATAGGTATCTATAACAAATTTAAACTCTAAATTAATTAAATTATTGAATCATTTTATAAAATATATAAAAATAAATAATTTTGTAAAATAACCGAAAAATTACATATAATTTTTCCAAAAAAATATAATGCATATTGTACAACTACATGCGGACTGTTATTACAAATTTGCTTAGAAATTTATCATCTTCAAGAGGAACTGATACAAATCCTTCGGCCACATGCTTAGCGGGAATGGATAGTTCAACATTAAACATGCTTGAAAAGTTTGAACCGCTTTGATGCTTTGCTTGGCAATCAAAATCTGGTGAATGGATTGTTTTGTTTACCGGGGTGAAGGTAAAGGAGGCTGGAGGGGCCAATTTTTTTATTTTGTTTTTATCAAATTCTTATTACATGATTTCTATTGCTTCTATTCTCAGCTCTCCAAGATCTTTGAAGGGAATAACCATCAATTTTTTTACTAATCCTGATTAGATGGAGGCATTGTCTGTAATCTAGAACTCAGGGATTGCATTCTCTTTTTTTTTTTTTATTAGGAGAAATTATTATATGGTCCTGGGACAATTGGTCTTAGTCAATGACTAATTAAAACGCAAAAAAAAAAAAAAAAAAAATTAAATAAAATTAACACATTTACTTGCTAGTCAGTTTGCATAAACAAAAAATTAAATAAAATTGGCATATTTACTTACTAGTCTTTGCTATTGATTGGGACCACATAATTCCGGAATTATGTGGTCATTTAACCTTATTTAAAAATACATTTTTTATTCAGAATTATGTGGTCATTTAACCTTCTTTAAAAATACATTTTTTATTCTTACAATTATCGGATTATAAGGTTGTGATAACAGATATAAGGATTCAAGATGATAGGATCTTAAAAATAAACATTGGTATTTTTGAGACAAATGTATATGTTATTCTCTGTATAAAAGTTGATCCATGAATGTTGAATGACACCATAGGCATGACAATGAGTTAGCCAATGCGTTGAATGACTCCATAGACATGACAATGAGTTAGCCAATGCTCTTGCAGCGCTTTTCCGAAGTCCTCTGCCTAAGGATGTTGCTCTTGCCTATATTTTACTTGATATTCTTCTAACAGCCAAGGATTGTATGTTTTGATTTGTGCTGCTCCACTTTGTTTGCAAGGCTAAAAAAAAATGTTGAATGACTCATCAATGTATGTTTAACTAACAGATAATGCATATTATATAACTACATGCAAACTGTTTCTACAATTATTATTATTTTTTTGTTTAACAGTGTTGGTACGGGAGGAAAAAAAAAAAAAAAAAATTTAGTAGTAAAGAATAAACAAAAATCTCAAAAAAAAAAAATCTTTGTTTTACAAATTTTCAAAGTTTAAAAAAAAAAAAAAAAAATTGTTTAGAGAGATATATAGAGAAAAATGTTTCAAAAAAAAAAATATATATATATATATATATATAAGGCAATGTGCACATAAGACCCCTATTATATGAAATTAGTAACATATATGTGAAAAAATTAAAAATATTTTTTTGCATGTTTTTTTAAATAGGTATAAAAATACTACACAAAATATACTTTATGCCTATTTTTTGCACTTACCCCTAATTACTTGCATAAATTAAATAGATTGTGTCGGACTTTTAAACCCCACATCACAACTCAAGCGTCAATGAATCTTGACCATCTATGATGGCACAACACCCGTGCTGTTACCACAAAGAATTCAAACTCCTTATTAGAGATATTAGACATCAATCCCTAGTCAGGTTTGTGGCCTAGATTGGTTGTTTTTGACTCGGTTGGGGAATTTTGCTGTTTTGTTCAATGAATTCAACGTAAAGGTCTATCTATGAGGCTATGTATGACTAACAACCACGTGGTTGTTGATGGTCCTCGGATTCTGTATGTTCGGAAATTGACCCATGTTGTATTGAATCAAGAAAAAGTATATTCATACCATATTTAACATTTTCTATGTGCTCGGGAGAGTGAAAGAGACGTGGACTACTTGACACTGAAAAATAGGCAATTCTTCCTCATTTGAGAGGATAACGTAAGTGAATCTGAACCGCAAAATTGAGCCATGTGTAATATGCCACATGTTTTATCAAGAGAGGATCCCAGTAAAATACTACGTATGTCCTAAGATTCAAGGAGCCTCAATTGCCTTGGATGGTCAATTTTGTAGGTTTTAAAAAGAATTTTTGTTTAATTAAAGATAATATTCAGAAGTTAAGATTAGTTATCCCAAACGAATTTTTAATTTCTATCCTTATAATATAGGTTAAAGAATTCATTCATTAATATCAATTATTTTTTTGTGAATTGAGTTTCAAATATAAAAAACTAAGATAAGAGGCTTACAATTTATTGGTGTTATTCATTTATCAAAAGACAATCACATGCAATGCTCAAAACATAAAAAGTGGTCGAGGATAATCATAAATGTATTAAATAAAAATTGTACAATATTGGATTTTTTTTTGTTAAAAAAATATATGTATCTTCATATTGTTTAACATTGTTCTCACTAAATTTCTTAGCTTTACCGCTATGTATAAAATAAAATGTGAAAACATTGTAAAGAAAAAATAAATAAGTAGATGCATTGATAATATATAATGCAATTGCAGATTCATGCAATTTGCATATTTGACAGTCGTGCCCGCTAATTCTTAAAAAACAATGGTTAATGAAAACACAAAGGAGTAGTTTTTATGCTGTTCAAAGAAAGAATTATCAAATAACTAATCATAACTTTTTGAAGTTTGGTATAATCAGTTCCATGAGGTGTGTTTTTTACAAAGCTAAATTGAAGATCATAAGCATTTGTTCTTTGAATGCCCCGCTACAAACAGGGTTTGGGACTTCATGGATTCTAAACTCTGTGTTCAATGGCCCGCAAACAATTATCTAACCCTTCTAGCATGGGGTAGTGATAACGTAAATGAAATTTTTTTGTACAATATGCTAATCAAACTGATCTTTGGAGCCACTATTTATGTTTTCTAGAAAGAAAGAAATCAGAGATTCTTTTATAACGTTTACAAGGATTTAGGTACCATTCAGAGAGACATTGTTGATCTGGTCAGCTACAGAGTTTTCTATATATATGAATTTTGTGAGAAACAACATAACTCCTAGTTGAACCAGGAATTGAGCGAACCCCAAATTTTTTTTTTTTTTTCGAATGAGGCCTCAGCTGAGTCTAACTCCCATTTCTCTCTCTTTTATGAGAAGTTATTTTATGGTCTTAGAATCATCTATCCGAGCCAATCACCATTGAACACGTAAATAATTGTACAATCTTTAATCAGTTTTTATCTTACATATCCAATGGTGATTGACCTAGAGGACCATTGGTCCCAGGACAACCTAAAAATTTCTCTTCTTTTCTCTTCAAAGTTGGATCTAGGATTTTGTTTATTTTTAGTATAGGCTTGGGCTACGCTCCTTGTAATCTATATTGGGTTCTCCCTTGTTTACAATACTCACCAAGGGAAAGAAATGTTAAAATCATAAAATCCTTTACTATTCAAAATATGTACAAAACCCTCTTGTACTAAATAAACCTCATGAAACTCTCATACTTTGCAAAACACTATCATATTACCCTATATCCGTTAAATTTCGGTTTTGCTTTCATTTGTAAATTTCAATCCCATATTTTCTACCTCAAGCATACAATAGTTAAATGGTAAAAAAATGACACTATTTAGAGATTCTGCATACATGACTAAAAACAAAGGTGTTCAATGTAGCCTTTGCTTTTAATTGGAGGACCTCGTGAAGGATAAATTCGGAATAACAATTATCCATTTTTTTTAAATAAAAAAAAAATATTAATTGATAAGGTTGATTTAGTTATTTCACACCCAGTTACCGTTACGGAATAAGATACAATGACAACTTTCGTTAGTTATGAGAGTTTTATGATTCTGTTGGGGTTATATGATTATTTTGAATAGTACAAGTGGGTTTTATGATTTTAACCAAAAAAAAAAAAAAATCCTTAAAATTAAATTTGAAGAAAATTTAGTTTAGAATTTTTAATTCTCTTCAATTCGAATTCTAAGTAACAGATTCAGTTAGTACTCCTTAGCAAAACATTAGCAAATTTATATTTTTAATAAATGATCAAAAGGGCCACTATTATGACCTTTTTAATGAACCTACCCTACCTGTATCTATACTTATTATCACAAATTATGCATCTATACTTATATCACAAATTATAGTAGCTGATATCAAAATTTGAAATGTAAAAATGGGGATATTCTCATGTCCGTCAGTGCAACAACTCTATATTGTCAACACAACAACGTTAATACAATAACTTTAGTTGATGATGTAATAATTACATAAATATGTTAAGTTCTCGATTAATAATGATATTGTAACTTTTTAACATGATATAATACATTACATGAGTGTTATACAATTGTTACATAAATATTGCATATGGTTATCTTATTGTTATGTAAAGTCTTGTGTATATGGTGTTGAAAATAAATTTGAATTTAGAATTTTAGTAGTAATGAATATTTTCAAGTATTTAGTATACATGATGTATGTGTGCATTTTATGTTAGTGGGGTAGTAAATAGTCTTGATGGTAAAAATTATGTAAAATCAAGAGATGTGTGAATTAAAACTCCTAAATACCATGTTAGTGGGGAGTTAAGCCTAAAGGTTATGTTAGTATAAGTAATTGAACACTTAAATGTAATTGTTAGACCTATGTTCATGTGACCTATATATTCATATATTCTAATTAAATAATAGAAGAAGTGGAATAAAATATTTTTTCTCCATATCATTCTCTTCCAAAATATTATTAAGTATTATGTATCTAAGCCACTATTTTTAACAAAGTGGTATTAGAGTAAAATTAGAAAGTAATATCAGAACGAAATCCAACATATAAAACACTCAAATGCATCTGAATTGAAATGTAGCCATTAAGTATAAGGATTAAAGACAATAATTTGAAGCTAGCATATCCCTGATTGAGAATATTATGTGCACTGTTCAAGCATGTATACCTCTCGAGCTCGTGCACAGATTGACACACGATGCGATTAGGGACACGAGAGGATCCAGATCGGTCGACTAAACCCTAATCCCACAAGCGTCCTTCACAAATGCGCCCACCGCAGCATACTCGTCAAGCGTTTTAGCAAAGGCATTAAACCGAATCAACTCTGGGAGAAACAGCCAAAAGCCGGTACTCATTACGAAAGTCAGCGTGAGTGAACCAGAGATTATTGGAGGCAACCGATAGCTGTCGGTGACCACCTTCTTGACCGCAATTTCAACCATCAAACAAAGCCCGTGGAGCAAGAAGAACCACGAGATGTACCAAGTGGGCCTCATGCGGCCCAAGTAGTAGAATACAAGCTCATGCATCAGGGCCGACACCATAAATGTGCTAAAAATTGCTGGTAAAGGGGCCCATTTTCGGCCCAAAAGCTGGTTTGAGAACCCAAGGGTGGGTTCGTATACAGTTGGGCGTAGAATACGACTCACCATCATGTTCCACCTTCGACCCCAGAAGTCTTGTAGTGAGCTTGAAAGGTATGGCTCATCGAACTGTGGCTCCAACTCTGACTTCAAAAGGGTCCGAGCCAGGGCTGCAAACATAGCAAACATGATCTCCAAGGCGAAGTATATATGGAGGCAATACAGCAAAAGTATAACCTTTGGATGTATGTATTCGCTATAATCATACACGCGCACGCACAACACCAGAAGCAGAAATTTGGTAGCGTAATTCCAAAGCGATTTGTGGCCCTTTTTGGATGTTTTGGGAGGTGGGTTTTGTATGATTTTGATGGGGAGAGAAGCGATTGCAACAAATTGTGGGAGAGAGATTGAAGGGTCTGATAAAGGGCCTTTTCCAAAGGCAAAAAGTAGGAGTTTGAAGTTAGCGAGCCAAGCAATGAAAAATGAGCTTATGCCTACAAGATGCATGGAGTGTAGATTGAGAGGCAAAGCTAGGAAGAGACACACCACAGGGACTATTGTGAGCAGTCTGAGTGTGCCTTTGGATACAATCTTGCCTATACCATAGCAGTAGCATAGAGATGTGAAGACTGAGAGGCATACCATCATGAAGTTGTTGATCTCACCTTCCATCTGTCTCTCTCTCTCTTTCTCTAGATCTCTCTCTCTCTCTCTCTCTCTGTCTCTCTCTCTCTCCACTTCTTTGATATGCTTTGTTATGGTTGGAAATTGGAATCCATATATGTATGTATGTATAGGTAACAACCATGTGGTGCCTGTTGTTTATGTTCGACTGATTCGGAAAATGTTAGTCTTAATGCGAATCTTTTCTTGTTTAATACGAAAGACAATTTATTAGAGTAAACTAATCATTATTTTAATATAATGAAATAGAGCGTGAAAAAATTGATGTGTGCACTATGTTTAATAATAAGAATGAAGTGTTGACAATTGCTATTGAATCAAGAAAATGAATTCATGAAACCTAACATTTACTTTGTGTTTGGAGGTGAAAGAGGCTGCTATGATCAACTTGCCATTATAAAAAAAAATGGAGGTGCAACGAATGAATATGACCTCACATGAGATGGCCTCGATAATAAAGAGGATCTCTAAGAGAGGACCAATATTCTAATGCCTAGCTACTTTACCAATTAACAAATTTTATTTAAAATAGTGGTTTTAAATTAATCTGTTTGTAGACTTTAACAGCATTTTCCTGTCATTCAGAAGTCATATATGGCTTAAATTTTTTTTATATGTTTTATCCTACGACTTAAGAGGTGGTATAATTTGTTCCCAACCTCTCATGATTTGTCCTTTTTTGGTTGCTATACTTTTATGTCTTTGTCAATAACGTATTGAAATCTTCGTTGAAAATCATTTATTTTTATTTTACAATAAAACTTTTTTTACTTACAAAAAGAAAAAAATAAAATAATATGAGAAGATGCCTAATGGTTTGAATAATATATAAAACATAGACGCAGATCTATAATGATGTTAGTTTTGATTTTTGAATGGTTTTTAAAAAAAAAATACATTGACAAGAAAAACACCCATTCACAAACACTTTTTATTCAAATCAGTTCTCAAATCCATACTCTCTTCTTTCAAAACTATGAGTTTTGAATAAGAAAAAAAATAATATTTTAATATATTTTTTCTTTTTATCCTTATTTTGTTCCATCCTTCTGGATGAGGTCCAGAAGTAATTTTGGTTCAGCCAAAAAAAAAAAATATTAGTAATACTAACCCACCCCAGAATAGATTAGTCAATTCCATTATGCATTTCTAGATCCGCCCTTAGTTAAAATGGATTCAAAAAAATATTAATAGCAATAATAATAAGAGATGCTCTTAGGGATAAGCCATTAGGCGAATGATATATAATTTCTTCTCTATTAAAGAGATTGAGGGTTCAAGCCCTACAATGGATAATTTTTTTTTTATGTGTGAGAGTTACCTAAGCACAAAAAGGTAAATAAATGACTAAAGATTTTCTTGCCTGCACCATAGCAGTAGCAGAGAGCCATACCTTGATGAGAGGAGTGAAAAGACAGCTAATACCATTCTATTTCTCTCAATAGGACTTTACCTTAAACAGTACTGAGTTTGACCGAGTTTAGCATAATTGACGTTGGACCATGCTTTTCACAATGAAATTTATTCATAGAACTAGACGTGCAGTCCGGGTTGGAATTTCATAACAGAAATTATTTGAACAAATCAAGATTGTCCAATCTCAAAAGCTTCACATGTACTCCATGGTGAGACTTTTTTTGAATTGAAACTTGTATGAATCTTTATTTTATAAACAAAGTCAAGCTAAAATGGTGGTAGTCTTGATTTGACAATAAAGACTACGCTGTGCTGATGGGGATAAGCAGAGCTCCAACCAGCACGCCATAGTGTGCCATATTCCATGTCTAATAATTGTTTTATTATTTTTTAATATATTTAAATTCACTTTCAACCCATTTGTTTTAGATTTTAACATAGTTTTAACACACAAATTAAACAAATATCATAAAATACAATTTAAGTGCTTTTAAAATAAAAATAATGATGACTTAATATATATAAATAAATGATGTTACGTCCCCAGATTAAAAAAAAAAAACAAAAAAACACACTGCTCGATGGCGTCAGGAAGTTGAATTCTTTGATGGGAAAATTTAAAAATACTCTACTTAATTTTGTATAATTTAAAAAATGCTAACTTTTTCAAACTAATAGGTTTGACTACTAACTTCCTGAAACTAATTACAAAATTATACTAAAACACTATTTGCATTTTTTTTATGGTCCAAAATACCCTCCTAGCATACATGCCAATGTGGCTCCACTTTAATGAGTTTTTTTCGGGATTTTAGTATTCCAAGTTTATCTCTTGCTCACCATCAGTTTAAAATATAGAGTAAAATTGTTAATTATTTGCCAAACCACCATCATTCACAAGAGCACTAGGTAAGCCAACATCATGTAGAAATAACAGTGTTAAATTTCATTTGGTGAAGAATTTCATAGTTTCGAAATAGGTGTGACAATTTTTTTATCTACCAAAAAAAAAATTCATAAGTTCAGTTGCATCAGTTCTGAGAATGAATAAAATGTATTAATGGATAAAGCATTAAACTGAACTATTTTTGCTATTGAATATATGGATCTGGAAAGTTCTCATACAAAGAAAAAGTTTTTGCATTTAGACCATCACCAGAGTTATTTCTAGTAAGAAGAAGCATATGGTCATTACCCAGGATATTGGGCAAGATACTAGGCACGACAGACAGATAGTTTTTTTTTTTTTCCTTAAAATCATGCATTCACTTATACATTCCTTAAAGAATCAAAGCAACATATATGAAAAACAATTTCATCGTAATATAAAAAAACAACTGACTTACAAAAGAATGGTTTGATAATCAAACCAATTCATCACATTATAAAAACTGAAATTTAAGATAGATGTGATACCCCTCGGATCCGAGACACGGGTTGATCAGGCCCAGGCCCAAACCCGAGGGAATATCAAACAATTAAAGTATTTTAAATGAACACAGATTACAAAAAAATGATTTAAGAAATAAAAGAATAAGCGGAAAGATACTATAAAAGAAATCATCAATAAAAACCTTAAAATATTAATAACTTAAAATCCTACAATCCAAAATCTCCAATCTTTTAACAACTCGGGAATCCATCTCTAGTGGACCCCTAATATAAAAATCCCAAACTGAATCAAAGTAAAACTGAAGATAAAATCCAAGTCGAACATCTGGAAAGAGATCCTACATCGTCGGAAGAATGAGTGACCGTCTCTGCTCCACACGAACAAGCTCAAGCCTAGAACTGTCGTACACCTGTAAAATAGGAGTGGGTCAGGCCCACGAACAAGTTCTATCCTACTGCAATCCAAGCAGAGACCCGATACGCATGTACATACTAAATAGTTCAACAATAGCTAATAGTCCGTACATAAATATATATCCACACTACTGGACTCTCGCTAGACCATGAAGAGGGTCTCAACCTGAATAGAAGGCATCACACAAATCGCACCTGAGTGGGTATGAGTACCTAAGCCTAAACAGGGTATACCTCAATCCCCACAATCAGCTACACATCCAAATGCATATACGCATCCTAACCGTTGACTCTGAGACTCAAGCTCATGTCACGGTACCATAAAATATATTTAAACTCCAATTCCATCCATCCACAAGAAATCCATTAAGTCGTTCGGCGTAGTCAACCGCACCGACTTACATACATATAAGGAGGATTTATTTAATAACCCGTACCCTCATTCCAAATAGGTAGAACTTAGCAACTTGTGCTGTCCAAACCTAGTATGTCACCGTCCCATACCGGTACATACAATCCAATCCATCCAACAGTTGATACCATACATAAACAATGCACATAGCAACTGAACCGTAATAAGCATAAATAGAGATATAGACTAGCATACCTACTCCAGTAATTGACAAACCAAAACCATAAGACATATCAATTAATACCATGATGACCATAAAATAAATATATAAGTTATCATATTCATCCCATATCTCCATTATAAATTATCATATTACTGAGCATGCAGATAATTCATCCTTCTCGTCCACGAATCCATGACAAGTGCAATAACCTTAACTATATTAATTACCATGCTTTTCACTATTAATAGCATCATATTAATCCATTTTCCATCCACAGAGAATATAAATTAAATTCAGTAGAAGTATAATTCCTCTGCACTACAATGAACAACTTTCGTCGATGCTTACTAATGTCTAAGCTATAAACACCTACTGGTTTATTAAACTTTAATCCACTCTCACAAGTGTTAATTAGACTTAGAACATCTCAAAACACCCAAGTATAGCTTCCTACAGCTTCTGAAAAATCCAAAATCCGAGTTCCGTAGCCAAACAAGTCACAGAATATGTCACACTAGAAGTTCGGGAAAGAGCCTGCTCTTTCAAATGAAAGAGCCTGCTCTTTCTTTGCTTGGAGCCTGCTCTTTGGTTGCAAAGAGCCTGCTCTTTTTGCTTCTATGAGCCGTCTCTTTGAAAACTTAAGCCGTTTCTTCTCTGTTCTTCTGTTTCCAACTCCGGTGAGTTTTTGTTAAACTGTGTTTCAATCCTAAGAGTCTTAGATGTTTAAATTAGATTCCAACTAATTCCAGAGTCCACTAAATTCATTGCTCAATTACCAAAATTAATTAAAACATAAACTTTGCACAAGAATTTAATACTAGCAATTTATGCAATCCCAAACTCCAACTGTTTTAACACATCAACCTTGTAACTAAAATTAATTCCATTGATTTCCAACATGATATAGAGTTAATTAAAAATCATTACTCATCAATTTCATTGAACTAAAATAAAAATTTAACATAATGAAGAAATTATAACATGAAAATACATTTAGGACCAAGCAAAATGGAGTGTTGAAAAACTAGTAAAAATCATGGTACAACCTTTAATACCTTGGAACTTAATCCCACTCCAGACCCTTGTTAAACCATCCATTACAGTAACCATTCCATTTAGATAACTTAGAAAATCAATCTCCATAAAGCCATCTCACTGAAAACTGGAACAAAACCTCACGGAACGTGGAAAACTGGAGATAACCAAATGGAGCAGGCTCTGGAAAACCTTGGAGCCCCCTCCATAGCCTTGGAGCTGGCTCCCAAGTGTCTTGGAGCCGCCTCCAAGCATGTAGAGCCAGCTCCAAACCCTAAAGGAGCCGGCTCTCCCCCTCCTTTGCTCTGTGTTCTCTTCTCCGGCTACGTTTAAACCCTTCTACAGATCACCGTTTTGATTACCAGAAATTTCTAA